GACTAAATTGTACAGTTACAATGGATGGCTTTTTCGTATGAAAATTCTACTTCAATACACTATAAAAAAATAATGGAAAAAAAAAAGACACTTCATGTTAAAGTGGGAATTGGGAGCACCTGGCTCGTTCAGTCGGAGGAGCATGCGATTCTTCATCTTGGCGTCATGAGTTCAAGCCCCATGTAGGGTGTGGTGATTACTTAAATAAATAAAACTTTAGGGGAAAAAAGAGAAAGTAGGAACTGATCTTCAAATATGCATGATATAAAGGGTGAAGTCCATCCTGGAATAAAGATGGAAGTCGAAAACCATGTGTACAATGAATAATAAACTTCTGAACTTGGCTAACTAGGAGAGAGGAAAAAAAAACCTTTAAAATGTTTATAATTTTCTTCATTTCACTATTATTTAACTTTCTAACCGCCTTGGTTTCCTTTGCTGGAAAATAAGAATAGTAACAGTACCTCCTTCACAGGGATAGAATCAGGCCTAATGAGATGATGGATATAGCACTTTCAGTAGAATGCCTAGAATGTAAGTGCTAAACATTAACTATTAGCAATCATAAAAATATTCAGATTTCCTCTATAGATGTTAAGACGCTTTAAAAAACACATTTATATTTCTCTACTTCCACAGCTACAAAATTTCCTAAATGTAAAAACATAACCACAATGAACTTTGTCAAACTTAGTGGTAATAAAATTATTGATACTGGATAAATTTTGATTTTTCCATCAGATTTTTAAAAATAAATCCATTTTCAAGGCACAGAGTGACATATTTTAAAACTACAAAATGATTAACAAAATGAGACATATCCATTGGCATGCACAAAAACTAGTTGATTTAAATACATGTTTATCAAGAAACATAATGGTTTGCTAAAGACATCAGTTAAATCTTACACAGTAAATAGGAAAAAAATAGTATCCTAACTTCTTGTTTCTTGTTATTTATCTATTGTTTATTTTTGTAAGTTATCACAGAATCATAGGGTTTAAGAACCCAACTAAGCCAGTGATCTTGCTTTAAGAATCTTCTCTCCCGCACAGCAAAGGAAACAACCCACAAAACTAATAGGCAACCAACGGAATGGGAAAAGATAGTTGCAAATGACGTATCAGATAAAGGGTTAATATCCAAAATCTATAAGGAACTCACCAAACTCCACACCTGAAAAACAAACAACCCAGTGAAGGAATGGGCAGAAGACATGAACAGACACTTCTCCAAAGAGGACATCCAGGTGGCCAACAGACACATGAAACGATGCTCAGCGTCCCTCCTCATCAGGGAAATACAAATCAAAACCACACTGAGATACCACCTCACGCCAGTCAGAGTGGCTAAAATGAGCAAATCAGAGAACTCTAGATGCTGGCGAGGATGTGGAGACACGGGCAGCCTCCTACACTGTGGGTGGGAATGTAAACTGGTGCAGCCCCTCTGGAAAACAGTGTGGAGGTTCCTCAGGAAACTAACACTAGAACTCCCCTAGGACCCAGCAATAGCACTGCTAGGAATTTACCCAAGGGATACAGGGGTGCTGATGCACAGGGGCACGTGTACCCCAATGTTCACAGCAGCACTCTCAACAATAGCCAAAACATGGAAAGAGCCTAAGTGTCCATCAACGGACGGATGGATCAAGAAGATGTGGTTTATCTATACGATGGAATACTCCATGGCA